TTAGTGGAAGGGGGAAAAGAAGCTGAGGGCATCTCTCACATCGCTAGAGGGAGGGGGAACAAACCTAAGGATTTCTCCCCAGAGCACATCCGTTCTTCCAATGGCATGCCTTTCCCCCAGCTGAAGGTGACAGTCACCATACCTGCCACATCTCCCTTCTAACTGCCCTACAAGACCAACGCCGGAAGACCAAGGAGGATAAAGGGGCCAGAGGGTGTTATCAGTGCTACTCAATTTATTCTTGTTCTGATTCATCCATGGAAAACTTATTGGGTCTTTTTCTCCCTTCCTCCTTGCAAAGTCAGTGAGCTCCCCAAGCAAACAGCTACGCACTGCCCACAGCTATTAAAAAGCAACTGGGGGAATTCCTTCCACATTATCTAGAAAGTTCCTCTACAAATAGTACTGAAGAGAAGCTGATCAGTAAAGGAAACACATGAGTGGCGGGAGGCAGCAAGCGCTATGCAAAGCGCACCACCCACTGGCTCCCGCTGTGAAGACTGGGGGTGGGGGGGGGTGGTATCTGGCCCCTCTGGCAGGCTGGAACAGACTCTGTGGTTATAGTAAGCTCAGCTTAAGGTGAAGTGGAGTCTAGAGAGTCATCCAAACCAGCATGCCAGAGAGAAGGCTAAATACCAGCCCTGCCCTTCCTTCTACCTGTTCAAGGATAGCTCTGCCTCCTCCACTCCATTCAAGGCGTAGCCCCCTAGCCTAGAGTTTCATTTTGTGCTGTTCATCATTTGGGGGTGTGGGGTGAAACAGGGCTTTATGTAGCCCAGGCTAGCCTCCACCACAAGATTTCTCTGCTCCAGCCTCTTCAGCGTGAGGATTATAGGCCTACATGCCAAGAGTTTCTTTTCGTTAAGATTTATTTTATTTTGGTTATATATCTCTGTGTGTGTGTGTGTGTGTGTGTGTGTGTGTGTGTGTGTGTGTGTGTGTATGCATGTGGGTATATACATGTAAATGCAGGTGCCCACATAGGCCAGAAGAGGGTGTCAGATACTTAGAGTTGTAGTTAGAGGCCACTGTGAACTGACTTGGATGCGGGGAACTGAATCCAGATCCTCAGTAAGAGTGGTGTGCACTTAATCTCTGGGCTATCTCTATGAGACTGGGACTTTCTTCAGAACCTGGACTAAACCATTTCTACTCTGAGTGGAAAGGGGCCTTCTTTTGGGGTGGGGAGGTAACGTGGAGCAGGGCTAAAACAATTTCAAGGCAGAGAACCAACCTCAGGACAGTCAAGGGCTGAGAGAAAAGCTGAAGAACAATTTCCACATTTTGTCTCTTTCCTTCTTTTTCTAAAATAAGTGTGGTTTAAAAAAGTATGAATTATTTTGAAATAACTGTTAGTAGCTGACTGTGTTGGTTCGACCACAGCTCACTCAGGGATTGAACCACATGGGGCTTGGCCCTCTGAATTATGAAATCACAGCGGGCCTACAAGGTCAGTTTCCAAACAAGTGTCTTCCCATAAACCCCTGGACTCTGTCCCATGCAAGGTCCTGGACGCTGCTTTCGCTCTCCCGAGACACCGACTTCTCCTAATTTGGCGGGATGAAATGGAGTTGCCCAATAATTAAAGACTGCATTTTTGGGCAGGAAACCGAGCCACAGAACATTGTTCTTTGGGATTGTTTTTGATAAGGGGCGAGCCAGTTGTGGCAAACCCAAACAAATTAAAATGTATCTTTTGAAAAGGAGCACAAAGAAGATCAGGCTACAGAAAGCAGAAGGTGAATGGCATCTGGAGCTTGCAATAGCGTACTGGTGGCCGGGTGTGATTCAGGGGGAGAGTGCACCTCGCATGCTGGAGGCCCTGGATCAGCCCCAGTACCTCAATAAATACATGAGAAAAGCAACAAAGGAACGAATAAGTAAATAACTACATATAATTACTCCTCTGTGGGTCTATGGTCCCACAAGGAGATGCTTACACAGTTCTAAGCATGACTAAGGCAATTTGATCCAATCATAAAAGTATGCATTTGCATTCCAAAGACCAAGTAACTACCTTAATGGTTAGAATTATATATCTGATCCACTTGACTTGATTTTCACTGAAAGCAGGTAAATACAACCAATGCCAGTTCCTTTTTAACGAAGTGAATTTTCAATCTCCCGTGTTAACCTTAAATCTTCCGCAGTCTGAGCAAACCCTATTCAGGGCATAATGCTATACTCAGCCTTTTAAAGAAACCACAAAAACAATACCCTGTGCTAAAAACAGGCCTCTTTGAAGGCTTACCACATCGGCTTCCTAATCTACTGCTTTTTTTTTCTTCCACTCTTTGCTAAAACACTTTATAATGAAAGACAGGTAGCAAAGGAAATCACAGAAAGAAAGTTACGGTATCGTGTGGTATGTAGCACGTGCTGACTCCTCCCTGTCACTCCCTCAGAAAATGCCACAGTTTGCAGCAACACACCAGGAACAGCTCCACGTGCAGGCTGGTGACACCGCTGTTAAAAACACTCTGCGACTGTGCACTTAATATCCCCCATTAAGGCCCCTAATTTCCCCAAATAGCATTATGAAGTCATACAAGAGTAGTCAGAAGGAAACAAAACTATTAAAAATATCCTCTAAAAAGTGAAAAGACGCCAAAAATCACACGAGGACTTAATAACCACAGTATTTACAATGGAAAATCACGCTGCTGCCAGAAACTACGCATTTCACTAGCAGGGCTTTTTATGTTTAATTTTATACGCAAGCTTTTGGCCTGAGTCTATGACTCAGTTGCTTTTTTCCCTTTTACAACCTCCTCTAAACTTTGTTATCTTGCTTTTATCAAATGCTGAACCATTTAAATTTGACAGGAAGAGAAAGTAAAAGCTAACGTCTACCTAATGATGTGTAGACCACTTAGAGTCACGGAAACAACCAGGAAGTGAGGACCATGAAGTCATTCCTCTGCAGGAGAGCGTGGAAGCACAGAGAGGCTGAGCCAGCCCAGGTCACACACTAAGTGGTAAAGCTGAAGTCTGAACATGAGCAGGTCAGACGGACGCGTTCTCTCTTCAGCATTCAGAATCGGCCACTTCCTGCATTTCTAAAGCACTTGGGGCAGTAACCCAGGGATTTTAGTCCAAACTGAAGGATTTTGCTGGTTATAGGATCTATTTACTTCTTAAGTAAACCTCTAACTCCAAATGGATCCATGTTTTATCTTCTGTATACAAGGAACAGTGTACACGCTCATTCTCTCTCTTATTCTCTTCCTCCCTCTCTCTCTCTCACACACACTCACACGGTTACTCTGATTACATAATACTCAGATTCTTTGAATAAGGGAGCTGCGAGAATTCTATTTGTCCTTGGGAAGGAGAGAGGTGAGCTGGGGCCGCCTCTGAACACCCACCTCTTCTGTGTCTGCTCACACATCATGAGCCGGCTGGCCTTCTCAGCTTGGCTTCACCCAGTTCTGCATTCAACCTCTCCTGGGCTTCCCTCCAGCCTTCTGCCTCAGGGCCCTGCACTTACTAACACATCAACGACTCCCGTACGTATCCTCTCCATGACAGGTAGAGTTCGGTCGTCTACGCTTTCTCTCACAGGAGGACACCCTGCTGCAGCTCCAGTCACCTCCCATGTGACTATCTAGTCCAACATGTATGGAGAATACTTTAGGTCCTCCTGTGTTCGAGCCTGGTTTCTTCCTGTCTCTCATACTTGGCTTATGAAGCCATATGTATCTGCTAAAGTCTAACTCTTCAGCATACAAAGCCTCTGCCGGCCCTATCTCTCTAGTGAAGGATGGGTACAGCATCTCTCTCTGCTCCTGGGCCTTGGAACCTGCCTCATAGAGAAAGTGCGAGGAAGGGATCCCTCCAGGGACTGCGAATTACCAATAACCTGCCTTTGTGCCTATGGGCATCAGAGTCTCAAGAACACGGGGATTATCGCACTTACCAATTCCAGGCCTCCACTCCAGGAAAGAGCGTCCTGAAGACCGCTGTAGGCTGAAGCAGGGGTGACTGCCAGATGAAGTTAGAACCCCAGTCTTGTCCCTGGCCAGTCACAAAGGGCCTCAGTTGATATAGGTCTCTAGAGAAAGGCCCTGCAACCCTCACTGCTGTCTGCAGTGTGGTTCTCTGCCTACCGTAGCTCCAGACACACTCATGGGAACTCATGGGAAGTAGAAAGCACACTGGGACCACCAAGTACTTGACATGTGGGTCAGGGATAATGGGTTCTCCTTGAGGTAACTCCTGATACCCTTGCTCACCTCCCTTCCAAAGGAGCAGGTAAAAATAGGTCACACTGTCCCCCCAGATGTAACCCCCGTTTGCACACATGGCTTTTTCTTCCTTTTGCCAGATTCTATTATCCAGCAACTGGGCTAAAGGACTCTCCCCAAAGGTCAGAGTTCACACTAGCTCTGGAAGCATCTTCTAGCCAGGCAAAGGGATGCCAAAGGGCGCCTGGCATTCCACACTCAGGTCTGACCTGTCACTTCCATCTCAGAGCCTTTTCTGGAACTTCCCAAGATGGTTCCCTTGATTTGGCTCCAGCTCATTATAGGGCTGCAAGTACAGTTTCCATGTGAGACATCTCTAGTCTGTGTACATGTGAACATCTGATCTCACACACTTTTAGTGTAACACAGCTGCAAGGAGCATTTCTTTCAAAGCCCTACCAATGTTCTCGGCAAAAGGCGGCCAGAACCGCCCTGTGTTTCACAGGCTTTTTTCCTAATTTTAATCAGAAATTAATTCAATAGAAATTAGAATTTTATTGAACCAATTCTTAACTAAAATTTAATTCTCATAGTGCTCACGGGACTTGTCTTTAATTCATTTTATCCATGCTTGCCTGTATTCTTCTGAAGATCCATTTTATTTTTAGCTTTTTAAATCTAATTTTCGTCTCTTTTCTAATCTAATCTATAAACCTTCATCTAATTATCAAGGTAATTCCTAGTTTCCATTCAGCCCCAAGCACTCTCTCCAGGGTAAACAGGGCATTTTCCCTTTCTTTCTCTGTCTTCACTTGCAAGTGCGCATCACTCAAACTTCCCTTGCCACTGAGCAGCAGACACGGGACAGGACACAGGTTCACAGAGCTCATACCTGGGCTGCACACAGGTTGCCTGTTACACAACAATGGTTGCATACACAAGGTCCAAAGCATCTATTTTATTCTGCCCTCAAGTTCTATGACCCAGGAGTTCTGCTGTGCACGATGAGAATGCCACTCCACTGAACTTTCTCCGTTGACACAGCTGGTTCAGAACCAGATTCCAAGAGGCCACACCTGTAACTGTTGTCATCTGAATACGACTGCAGTGTCCTCCAACATTCACGGGCCAAAAAGGCAATGCCCACTGTGAGCCCTGAGGAGAGGGAAACGCAACCTGAATGTGGTGCCAGGAGGTGACTAGACTTAGGTAAGGCCATCAGGAACAAGTGCTGTGGGACAATGATCTGTACCCTGTCACTTATATTTTAAATAAATGCTGATTGGCCAGTAGCCAGGCAGGAAGTATAGGTGGAGTGACCAGGTAGGAAGTAGAAGCGGGGCAATGAGAATTCTGGGAAGAAGGAAACACAGTCCGCAGTCGTGACCCCGCCACAGAAGAGGCAAGATGTGACTGCCTCACCGAATAAGGTACTGAGTCATGTGGCTAACTCAGACAAGAATTATGGGCTAATGCAAGTTATAAGAGTTAATAAGAAGTCTGAGCTAATGGGCCAATCAGTTTATAACTAATGTAGACCTCTGTGTGATTTCTTTGGGACTTAACCACTGCAGGAACCGGGCAGGATAGAAAACCTCAGGCAACAATCAAGTCCTGGTGGCCTCATAAGGAGTGAGAGACAAGAAAGGACACACATATGTACTAACTCCCTGCTCCCACCAAAAGATACCAGAACCACGCTGAGACTCAGAGGTTCGGTCAGCTGAGAGCGATGCATGTAGTAGTCACTCTGCTCCCAGTCAAGTGTCCCAAGAGTATCCATTCCAATTCAACCATGAGACTCCGCATCTTTCCTGTCTCACTACATTGGTAGAAGCTGTCAAAACCCATCCAGGTTCAAGGTGAAGGCATGAAGACCCTACCCCTTCATAGAACTCAGCAGATGGCCATGTAGAAAGAACATCAATAATGGCAGTGAGAGACTTCCTCACTGGGATTGCCTCCACTGACTGCCCAATCCTGTCTGCACACCACCATGGCTGCCTTGCAGCCTGGTGCTGTGTGGGGACCAGGTTCAGCAGTCATCCACAGGCATAGATCCAGCATCAGGGAACTGGCAGGTTTCCCCCTTAATGTAAGGCATCTCACAGTAGGTAGGGATGGAGGGAGAGGCTTTGTTATTCCCTCTGTTGCTCCCTGGTCCACTAACTTATTTCCAAATGACCCCTCTTGGAGCTAGCATGGGCTCAGCCCCTGTGCTCAAGGAATATTTTTCTATTACTCCTAACAGAATCTCTGCTATCCCTTTGCAATAGTAATCAGGGACTCTGCCTAACCATACCCAGACCTCTTTCCCTTTTCCCTCATTTACAGCCCTTTGTCAGAAACATCTGGAAGTCCCTTGATGTGGGGTTCCCCTCTGTATGCTATGAATATGTTTTATTACCATTGGTTATTAAAGAAGCTGTTTGGCCAATGGCTTAGTAGAGTAAAGCCAGGTGGGAAACGCAAACAGAGATATGGAGAGAAAGTACACAAAGTCAAAGAGATGCCATGTAGCTGCCGAAGGAAGATATAAATATTGTAACTGTAATTCTTGCTTGATACCGGTTTTGTATATGTAATTTTACTATTTAAAATTAAAACCTTCTCTTTCTATTTAGAAAGAAAAGGGGATATGATATGGGATTCCCCTCTGTATGCTATGAATATGCTTTATTACCATTGGTTATTAAAGAAGCTTTTTTGGCCAATGGCTTAGTAGAGTAAAGCCAGGAAGGAAATCCAAACAGAGATACAGAGAGAAAGTAGGCAGAGTTGAGGAGACACCATGTAGCCACTGAAGGAGAAAGATGTCTGCTAGACACTTACCAGTAAGTCATGGCCTCATGCCGATACATGAATTAATAGAAATGGGTTAATTTAAGGTATAAGAGTTAGCTAAGATGTAAGAGTTAGACAATAAGAAGCCTGAGCTAACAGGCCAAACAGTGTTGTAATTAATATAGTTTCTGTGTTATTATTGGGGTCTGGGTAGCTGGGAAACAAACAAAGGGTCTCCACCTACAGTCTCTGAATACCAAATGTCATCCATCTACTTGGTGCCTGCCGGAAGGCATAGCCACAGTGCCCTGTTTGATTGCTTAATTTTCTTTAGGAAATCATCCCCAGGCTGGGGAGGTGGCTCAGCGGGTAAAATGTTTGCTGTGCAAGTGTGAGACCATGAAGTCAGGGCCTCAGAACCAAGACAGGGCTGAACATGATCCCAGCACTCCTATGGCAAGATGAGAGGTCGAGTCAGAGGTCCTGGAAGCTTGGAGCCAGCTAACCTGGCACAGGCAGCAGCAAAAAGAGAAACCCTGTCTCAAACAAGGTGGAAGAGGAGGATCTATACCCAGGGTTGTCCTCTGACCTACAGAGAGAGAGAGAGAGAGAGAGAGAGAGAGAGAGAGAGAGAGAGAGACGCATGTGCACACATGCACATAAGCGTTCTTCCTCACACATGCACTCACATGCGCACACACTCATGTACACACGTTTGTGGGAACACACACACACACAGGTGGGAGGGGTGTCTCTGGAATTCACGGTGAAGGAGGAGTTCCCAGCTCTACTTTGCTCCACCATGTTTGAAGTTTGTAAGAAAGCAAGCTTCCTAGGATGCGGGGGTGATTTCACTACGCAAGTGTAAACTCCTAAGTGATTGGACACAGATGTGGTCAAAGACGTTAGAAAGCTCTCGTTACTTCCCAGGCAATCTAAATGAGAAAAACGACTTCCTTTCCTGTACTTACCACTATTCCAAGACTTAGCAGTGTTGCAAACACCTTTCCTGGAGAGACACAAACATTTGCTCACCCAGAACAGGACAGTAACAGAGTATGATTCTACAAGAGTCCAACTTGTGCCAATAAGTTTACTGGCCATTCTTACAGAATATGGAGAAAGGGTTACTTACAGGAGGGTTAAGGACTCCAAAACAGCTACATCACCGCACAGTCTCACCCCATCCCAGAAGACAGGTATCCTTTCTGTTGACAACATTCCACTTCCTAGTACTCTCAGATCTACCAAGCAGCTGTTGGGGACAAGAAAATGTAAGGGCTGGAATCTTATGTGAGAGTCTTGTGACCCTCTCGTCCCTCTCAAAAAGGATTGTCAACAGCTCCATTATCAATGTACACCTAGCTACCTCCTCACTGCTCTGCTCAGTTGGTTGCCATGGCTACTTGTCAAAGATGTATTCCCTGCCCCAAAAAGAGATGGAGGGAGTATACTATGCCTGGAGTAAAAAAAAAAAAAATGGGGGGGGGGGAACATACTACAGAAATCAGAAAGACAAGACCTTTGCAACCAAGAACTCTGGATTCATGAATCTCTAAGCTTAGTACTGCATACAAGTTCAGACAGTTGGGTGGAGCTGCTGGCCTCTCCCAGTCTAACTCAGATTTTGAGACCATACCAGCAGGATGAGGGCAGGCATTCCTACACTAGCGTCATTCAGTAGCAAGTGGTGGCAGCAGTGACAGAACAGCCCAGATACCCTGCCTGTGAATTGCGTTTCACAAAAAGTGACTTTTGCTTTCACTGTAGCTGAAGCGGTGGCCATCGTTGAGGTCAGACTCAAGGGCAGCTTTGCCTTAGCATCTGCTCCTGATGGCCGTAAGCTCTGGGGATGCCCCATCTCTCCATTCAGATTGTGCTCACAGAAGCAATACACCGACTCCTTGCTTCATCGCCTAAGTAGTGAGGTTCTTGGGGGTCAAGGCCTTTTTGCTCAGTGTTGCCCAAGACTGAATTTTCCTGGAAACTGAACTTGATAAAGACACGATTATAAAAACCTAATGCTTGGAGAGGGGATGATTGAGTGAAGGCTTTGGGGGAGCGGGGGGCTGTCTCCTCTCCAGGGCTTATCCAGGGTCCCTACTTCAGTTTTCAAGTTGAATGGAATACTCTTGGAAGGCCCAGTTTATAAGAGCCCTACCCGTCCAGCCCTTTGCTAAAGGCTCACTGAGGCTTTTCTCCTTTGAAATCTCTCTAGCTCATCCTGGGTCATCTTCTAGAGTCTTCATTATCTTCACCTTCATCTTATCATCTGAGGAAGACTGAAAACAAGTCCACTACTTTTTAACTAGGGAATATCACAAACAAAAGAAAAACCAAACATCTGGTTCCGGAAGACGGTGATAAATCACAGAGTTCCCCAAACATTTTACAGAGCACAGTACACCAAGCCACCCCAGCCTTGCAGGAAGCTCAGGGGCAGCAGGACTCACAGAAAACGCTATCTGTCATTTGTCAAGGGAAAAGCACACATTTCCAGAAAGCTCTCCCTAAGATATTTAAAAATAAGAGCACTAATCTCTTTGGTGACTTCTCTAACACCCTTTCTCTCCCTATAAATTATGTGCAAGTTTTGTGAAACTGTTACCTTATTTCTAGGCTTCCTTTGCAAATGACCTTGCCTGGTCGCTGGTGCATCCTTGCCTGTTACCAACAGAGGGAGCTATTTCCTGCGGGATACTCATAATGCTCCCAACCACACCCTCTTTCTGAAGCCTGTCTTCCAGTGCTAACTACAGAAAAGCCTCCGTGAATCCATATACACCCAGTCTCAGCTACACCAGTGGCTCCGGACCCCAGGGCAACCCCATCCAGGCCCAGGGTCACCCTAGACCAAGGATCTGGACACCCTAGCCTTTGTCTCTGAGCTTAGATCAGAGCATGAACTGAACCCCAGTAATCCCTACATCCTCCCTGGGTTGTGACCTCACACTATTTGTCTGTAAGCACTACCCACCACCATGCATAAATAACTTTGGCCTTCTGACTTCTAGAGAACACAGTGATATAGGTCTTCAGTATGAAGCTTCCTGCCTTGAACCATTTTCTATTGTTACTGCAAAGTACCTGAGACCAGGTCATGTAAGTAAGAGTGATGTTTGCCTCAGTCCAAGAGCATGGAGCTGGCTGGCTTGGTCTGGACAGCCTGACTTTCACATACACATAGATAGATGATAGATAGATAGATAGATAGATAGATAGATAGATAGATAGATAGATAGATAGACAGGTAGATAGGTAGGTAGGTAGATAGATAGATAGATAGATAGATAGATAGATAGATAGATAGATAGATAGATAGATAGATAGATAGATAGACAGGTAGATAGGTAGGTAGATAGATAGATAGA